GGGCAGGCTGGCAGGGCAGCAGTGGGCAGCAGCAGGGCGGGGGTGGCAGAGCAGCAGCAGTGGCAGAGAGCAGGCAGTGGCAGGGCAGCAGGGCGGAGTGGCAGAGCAGCAGTGGCAGCCACAAGGTCGCCACAGGGTCGCCACTGGGTCGCCACTATGATTCCGCGGCTCGCTCGGTTTGATTTATGGTAACTTATTCCAAAAGCCACTAAAATGTCACGACAGCCTCTTTTGTAGCAACATCACTACAACGTCACTACAACGTCACTACAACGTCACTACAACGTCACTACAACGTCACTACAACGTCATTACAACGTCACTGCAACGTCACTACAACGTCACTACAACGTCACTACAACGTCACTACAACGTCACTACAACGTCACTACAACGTCAGTACAACGTCACTACAACGTCACTACAATGCACAAAAAACTCGTTTGCTGCAGAAAAAATGCAAATTTTGTTCAAAAAGACACAAAAAGAATTTTGTTTAATTCAAGAATGGCTCAAGAATGACAAAATATGAGCCAACAATAACTCAACAATGTCGCAATCTTGCTCGAAGTAGAAGCAGTAGTAGCAGAAACAGCCGTTTGCAGCAGTAGAAGTGGTAGGCGGACTTCGAAGAGACTCCAAAAAGACTGCAGTCTTCACCGTAAAAGATTCCAAAAAGACTGAGTCTCTAACCGAGTCTCTGCAGTGAAGTGCTGCTTCTGCGTCATACTGCAGTTTGCAGCGTTTTTTACGACTGTTCTTCGCGATGCAGCTGTAACGGTCACTGCGCGTTACGGGTCACGACGGGTCACGACGGGTCACGACGGGTCACTACGGGTCACTACGGGTCACTCCGGGTCACTACGGGTCACTACGGGTCACTACGGGTCACTACGGGTCAGTACGGGTCACTACGGGTCACTACGCGTCACTACGGGTCACTACGCGTCACTACGGGTCACTACGGGTCACTACGGGTCACTACGGGTCACTGCGGTTCACTACGGGTCACTACTCACTACTACGGAGTCACTACGAGTCACTGCGGGTCCGCTGTGCTACCTTTGGATGGATCGATTAGTTGCAGATCGCAATGGCCGAAGACGCTCGCAGCGTTCGTTGTGTGCACGTTCGAGGTGGACGTGAATCCATCACAGTCGATCTGCTTTGGTTTGTTGTCGAGCGTTCTTGGAAATCGTCGCGCGTGGGATTGTGTCGGTGCTGGCCATCAACTCCGCTGACACAATTGAAGCTTCGCATGGCAACAGGGATTTGCAAATTGTAAACGTAGAAATTCTCGAGCATCTCTCGAAACGAGGCTGGAACACCCTCCCCGAATCACAACAAGTTCCGTTTATGCGGGCTCGGAGCGGTAGGTCACGGAATCGAAGGGGCTCTAAAGTGCTTGCAAACGGGGCGCGCGGCGGTTCGGGAGCAGTTTGAGGGCGCGTGGGAGAGCCTGCGAGCTGTTTGGAAGCAGTTTAAGGGCACACGCTGGGCCTGCGAGCTGCTAGCCCCCATGCCCCCCCCTTAAAGCACGTTTCAGCGCTCTTTGCAAGAACTTTGCTTTTATTTCGAGCCCCGGGAAGCTTGTCATTCTTGTCTCCTGCCGCTGCCCTCTCGAGGGCTGGTCATTCTGTCACAGGTACTTGTGTGCTCTGGAGGACGTCTAAACAATGACAGGAATGACAAGAATGACAATCCAGCCCAAAAAAAAAATCAATTAATTTTTCCCGGCCTCTATTCCGGGCAGGGCGCCCGCTTCGTCGGCCTGAACCGAGGCCGGAATACCGGTTTCGGGGTCGGAATTCCGACCTTGCTCCTTTCGGAGCCCCCCCCGGTTTCTATCCCGAGCGGCGCCCGGTTTGATCCGAAGCATGTCACTTGCAAACATGGCCACACCGACTGCACGTCGCAAGGTTGACGAATGAAACCCAGAGCCCGCACAGCTGCGAGCACGGATTCTCCATTCACGAATCAGCCAAAAAAATCATGCTAACAAGTAAGACAAGTTGAACGGCAGAGCTGGACAACACTTGCACAAAATTACTGTCATGCTTGAAGCGTTTTTCACATCATGCTGGCAGGTGAGTACTGGCTGAGCAAAGCAATTCAAGCGCCCCTTCCCCCAGATTTCTTCAAACGGATTGATCGCGTCTGTACACTTAAGCACGACTAAGAGCGCCTCTGTGAAACTGATTTTGACCAGCACTGGCATCTGTGTTGCTGGTCCTGTACCCGTTGCACGCCCCGCTTGACTTGAAAACTTGAACGCCGTAGCCTGCTCAAGGAATGTGAGCGTTGAACTGCTGTCTGCTAATCCTGGAAGTCAAGCAAAGCCGCCAGTGATGCTGCTGCTACCTCAGCCGAGAAGCTCACACAACAAGGACGGATGCAACTTCGCAGCGCTCAAACTCCGGCGCTGCTGAGGCACACGCATGCAACTTATACGTCGTCCGCTTGTGGCAGCACGAACCCGTAGCAATCTGCCCTGCGAGCGGGGCGACGGCAAAACCCCCAAGCTGAAAAGGCGTCGAAACCAAGCGCTGGGCTCAGTTGTGTCTCGCAGTCTTGCTGACATCGTGTCTTCCTTCACCCAGTCCTTGTCCTGCGAAGTCACGCTGAGACAGCGGCACAGGGAGGGCTAGGTGGGAGAGCGGGATTGATCTGAAAAGCTCTCCTCCCGGCTGTATATGTCAATTTTGAACGAAGGAATGGAGAGCTCCGCCTTGTTCTTTATTCCCTGAAGCAACCAGTGAACTCAGATACCATGTGCGCTCAATGACAAAGGCGAAGGCAACCCGTTTCTGAGCGCATGGCTTCCTTCAGGTCATCCACCTGACGACGTCCACCAAAAGTGTGGAGAACCGCTCATAAACTCATAAGAACCGCACTGAGGCAATCGAGTGGAGCTAAGGTCGCGGCGTTGGCCAAGGCTCCTTTCACTTGGAACGCATTGACTGGCTCAAACTCCTTGCCATCCTCGAACTTCAAAGGTGCTGCTTGCAATTGTCACAATTCATGTGTGGGTTCTTGTCAACGTTCCGAAAAAATCAGCTCCGCAGTTCTGCCTTCGAGAATGCGCTGCTTTAAAACATGGACATGATATGAATGCATCGGAATCCTCCTTGCGCCTCAGCTTTTCTGTGATCGTCCCATCCTGCGAGTCGAGTGGGTCAAAACTGCGGCAAACATGAACTGACGGCAAACTTGCAGAAACACTCCCAGCAAAGAACAGCCAAAAACTGCCAGCCTCCCGCCCCTCCCCTCTCCCACGATCAGACGTGTGCCACTATGGGCATGCCGCATGCTTCGCCCCTGTCGACGAGCGTCCGAGACACACTGGAGCACAGATCCCAACAGGTGCCCCAACCCTGCGTTCAGCTGAATGCTACTGATGCTCTCGGTCAGCCTTGCGCTCCAATTACCGGCACTTGCTCTCACACAGCAGAGTCCTTGCGGATCAGCTCCCGCACCCAGACAGATGACCTCAACGAGCCTCGCAGAACGCCAATGGTTGGTATCTCTCCGCCCTGTGCAACATGGACGCTTCCAAGAGCATTGGGCATGACAAGGTTTGTAGTGAGTATGCAATATGCTTGCGAAAGAAAGCATTGTCGAAACATGTCGAACATGGCAAGCCTGCGCGAGGCCGTCTCTCTTGCAAGCTCCGCAGCCGATCTGGACGAAGGGGCCCCACACGTTGAAGTACATGGCTCGCAAACTCGTAATCTGGCGATGTCTCGATCAGGATCTCCTGCGCTCGCTCAGCCACCTGGTCCAGCCCGGGGTGCGCCGAGAACGAATGGACAAGCTCGGACAGCGACTTCGCCGTGGCATTTGCGCCAAGATCACTTAGGCGATTCATACCAGCAATGAGCGTGTCAGCGAGCTGTCTGAAAAACATGTCGCCACCAGTTCGCCCTCCGAAGTCCAGCCATGCGAAAGTTTTTTCGCCGTATTGGTCGAGTTGCCACACGATATTTCCCATATGGCAATCGAACCACAAGCCCATGCGGGCCATAATTGCTATGTCGCTGAGGAAGCCCCAGATGAACAGGACTGTCTCTGCACGCGTTAGATATGTAATCTCCAGAGGGGTGAACTCTTGAAAGACCGACACTCGGATGCGAAGAACGCCTGCAAGCTGCGTTCTCTCTTGGCGCTTCCACACCTCCAGACTGCTAGAATGCGGCACGCAGAGCTCACACTCTGCTGCGACAGGAACTACCATGAACATCAATTTTGTCAAGCTGGCGCTCTGCCGAAACAACACTTCAGATTTGATTTCAATGTCTTTTGTAAACCTGCGCATGGCTCGTGGGATAGCTTGAAGGCCGTAGCGGAGGCTGGCATACACCCACTCCTCCTCAAGTGACAATGCTTTCTGAAAGGTCTGCAGAAGGCTCTGCAAGCTTTGCGACTGGTAAAAATACTCTTCTCCTGCCGGCCACTCTTTTGGGCTGATTGGAGCCATGCGAAGCGCCAGGGGCATCCCGTGAGCACACTCCCAAAACGCCACGTAAGCTGTCCCACCGGCAGCAGCTTTCGATGCTTGATTGTACTGGAAGCAAGTTTCCGTCCAGGGCTCCAATGCTTGGCATGAACCCTCAGGGCAGACCGCAACCTCGCCAAACGTCCCAACAAGCACTGAAGTAATAGAGATGTACGCAGTCAAAGCCATCTTTCCGACGAGAGATAAAGATCAGCCACGCAAAAGCGATTGCGGAACAAGACTTGTTGCGTTGGCTGCATTGCCTTCAATGTTTTGCTGTGCATGACGTGCAAGTTAGACCTTGACTTGAACCAGAAGAAAGCCTGCCGATCCCAGGTAGCTCCTTCTCGCCAATCAACTCACACAGCGGCTACTTGACAAAGAAGCATGCACCGCGCGCAGCATATGTACTGCAGATTTCACAGTTGCAGCAGTGTAACATGCTGATCTAAAACCAAGCTTTTGACCGGCTGAGGCGGGCAAGATTCGAAATTTTGCATGGATATCACAACCACCGAACTATTCTCTGGAAAATTGATAACGTTGAGGTCGTGCCTGCAGAGCCTCGCAAAACGCGAGAGGTTGGTATTTCACCTGGAGCAATGGTCTCAAACCTTGCAACTCTTGTGCCTGCAGATCCGGCAGATGGGCCTCACAGGGTGCTAACAGACGCAACGCAGCCGAGAATTGCAGATCAAACCAAAGAAAAGGAGTCCGAAGAGGCACACATCATGACATGTGCTTGTAGAAAACGGGCAGCCACACATACATCTGCAACCATGCCCTTCTTAGGATACATGAGGCGCACGAAACTCTGCAAAGCGACAGACACATGGCACCTGACTGCAAAGAAGTCAGCGGAAGAAGCTGCCCCTCAATGCCATTTCTCATCCGCGTCAATCGTCTTGGAACAGAATCTCGCGGCACGGTGACCTGCAAGTGCCGACTGCGAACGACAATCGTCCGCCATCCACTACCTCAATGCTCAGATCAACTGTTGTGTAAATGCTGATGGCACCCCAGCTCTGAGACGCTGGCTTCTGCACGGAAAGCAGTAGAGGACGTTGTCAAGCAGCTGTTCAGGACAGCAGCTGCATATGTACACGACGCGGTAGTCGTCTAAGCCTTGCGAATGTACATCATACTGTCCATCAATCAGGAATCTGTCCGCATGTTTCTGAACACTTTCGCCGCTGCCCTCGATGGCAATCTCGATGGCCAGACGCATGCCACTAACAAATACTACAAAGTCAACGGAAGGTGGCCTACCCTTGCGTCCCTTGCGAAGGGGATACTCTCGCAACACGGCATGAACATCCGAGAGAGCAAAACATTGCGTAGGCGTCAGCTTGGACATCTGCTTCATTCAGCAAGCCCGCAGGCTTGCCGCTGGGCACGAGACCCTTCATCAGCGTTTGCGACTGAAGCCCAATAAGGGCGTTGATGCAAAGCTCGTCTATATTCCAATCTTGCTGGCATGGCGTCCACAGTTGCCGAAGGTACTCAGCTTGCCAACTCGTGGAAAATGTAAATTTCAGATCGCCCTTTCCTGACCTCTTGTCTTGGTTTGGCAACTTGACAAGGGATTCGCCGCTCTCTTCAGGCAGCAACACGGTCCTGAGGTATCCGAACCGCACTGCATCCGGACAATGCGGTGGAAAGCGAGCGCTCCCAACAGGAGAAGTTATGCCAAAGGTGTGTTAAGTTTGCGGTGCACCTGAGCACTGAACATTCTGTGATGCCAGCCTGCAGAATCGACAGCCTATCGAAATGCATAATTCTTATCGACGTCTCGTAACCAGCCCCGTATCCACCACAGAGTGGAGAACTGGAACACCCCCCTAGAGAGAGACCGCTTCTTCGAACCGCACAACTCTATGAAGGCGAAAAGCCATGTAATTAAGGTCTACTTGTACACGTTGACCTTAATTTCGATAATATTCTTTGTTTAAGGGCTGATTTTAGCGGGGTTTTTTTCAATTAAGGGTCCTTCTGATTTTCAAAAATTTTTAAAGTCTCTGAGTTGGCTGTCTTCCTTCCTCCGCTTCTGTGAAAACGCATGCCTGCATGTGGAACGCTTCATTGCTCTTGCTTGCTCGGTCAAAGAGAACCTCACCTTGAGCCAGAAGGGTCTTGGCGAGCTGTTGACGGTCGGAGCCTTCAATCCAACCTCCATTGTTGCCATAGACGACACGGTTCGAAGAAGCGCCAATATCTAACCAAGCAAGACACCATTATTCTGCTTGACTGCGCACAGGTAAGCGACAAGCAGGCCCACATGGCGGTCACAAAAATCAAAAACTCGTTTAGAAAATGTGCTCTTGTCACCGACGTCGACTTCGGCAATTGCACGCTCAACCCAAGCTGCCACGTTGGTGTCATCCATGACTGGTCCATTGAACCAGAATCGGTGAGGGTCAAGTAACTCTGGGCTCATGCCCCATTCTAGGCTGCTGGGCCTCTGCGTTGTCAGCAGGACATACTTCAAGTGGGGCCGGCGCGGCATTTTCAGTTCGTCTGCGAATGTACCGTGTGCGAAGGCACGGTGTGCCTCATCAACAAAGAAGATAGTGCTCTGTTCGGTAGAAAACTCAATGTCTTCCACACAACGGCAATACTTAACCGTATGACCTTGTGAGTTTATCTCAACCCCAGTGTTGGCATAAAACTCAGCTCGCCGACCGAGCGAGCTCTTCCCACTTTGGCAAAGTCCCATAACGTAGGCTTTACCATGCTGAACCGCATACTCGCAAAGTGTCTTGATCGCGCCCGTCGGCTCCAAAATGCTGTCCCACGCCTCGTGACTTCCCACAGCCATGGAGCTTTGCAGGATGGGCTGCGGCTTTCCAGCAGTCGCCTACAGGAACTGTTTCTGTTGCTTCCCCACTTGACTTATTGTCCTAGAATCCTAAAGAGGGGGCAGAACAAGTCGAGTGTCAAACTTCAAACATCACAATCAAAACCAGTCTGCGGAAACACAAAACATGCATACCGGCATGTCCTGTGCTGCAGGCTGAGCCGGCATATGAGGACGGGCAGAAAAACGCCGACTCAAACGCGGAGGCTCCTGCACGCAGGCTGTCAGCACAAGGTTTGGCGTGTTTCCCGACCGTTCGCAATTCTATCGACAAATGTTCCAAACGTGTGACTGGACCTTGAACTTCTGCCACGTCCACGCCAGCGGCCGCGCAATAGCCTGACAATTGCCGTTGTATAAACACATACTTGGCACCTGCCGGTACTGCCGACTTATGCCAATGAATGTTGTGATCTCGAACGGCCAAGGCACAAAACCAACACGGACATAACTCTGCAGTGTCAGCATTCTGGCGTTCTGCACGGCCATTTTCTCGTACCGGCAAAGCTGAACACAAACTCTGGCTGGTTACATGCCGTAGTCAGTTCTTGCACATGCACAGCATTGCTTCTCACAAAACTCAGCCAAACCTGAGCAGTAAATGGCAAACGGTGTCGTATCAACGGTGCAACCGGGCAGCTGTGCTTAATGGGCTCGAAGGAGCACAACTAGCAACAATGATTGTGCACATTCAGCAAAACTGTCGCGTATTTGGGCTTGTCGTAAAGCTACGGCAATATCAAAAATCCAGCCGCAACAGGAGGGCATGCACCAAAATCCAGGCAACTTTCTGACCCCGAATTTGCCATCATTGCGGCTGCATTAGTCACACCGGATGCGGTTGGTTTGCATCTTTCCGATCCACCTGATGGAACCAACTTTTTCGACGGGAGTGACTCCGCAGTAACCTGTGCAGACCTGCAATGAGGAAATCCAAAAATTGGAAACACAGATTTTTCGTAAAAAGTTTTGCCGGTGCGGCGTCAGAACTCTGCCATTTGAATCTTCACAACGCAAGACTGAAAAAATGTCTAAGTTTCAGACTTGCAATGTGACAATCCTGTTTGGTACTTTTGTAGTTTTGTTTGTCCAAAAGTTGAGGTTTCAAATCTGTGTGAATCAGATTTGGATTTTTTGGACCGTGTGTGAAGTTTTAAATTGTATTTTGTATGAATGGCACCCTGAGTCTCAGCCAAAAATACTTCCTGCAAGAAACTGCTGCAGCAATCTTGACCAGTTTGGCTGATTCATCTTCTTTTGTCAGAGTCACAGGGGATTGTAGTTGATATGGGGGACATTGTTGTGGTTTTTTTGTAGTTGTTGTGGTTGTAGTTGTTGTGTTGTTGTGGTTGTTGAGGTTTTTGTTGGTGGTTGTGGTTGTTGTGGTTGCTGTGGTTGTTGTGGTTGTTGTGGTTGTTGTGGTTGTTGTGGTTGTTGTGGTTGTTGTGGTTGTTGTGGTTGTTGTGGTTGTTGTGGTTGTTGTGGTTGTTGTGGTTGTTGTGGTTGTTGGGGTTGTTGTGGTTGTTGTGGTTGTTGTGGTTGTTGTGGTTGTTGTGGTTGTTGTGGTTGTTGTGGTTGTTGTGGTTGTTGTGGTTGTTGTGGTTGTTGTGGTTGTTGTGGTTGTTGTGGTTGTTGTGGTTGTTGTGGTTGTTGTGGTTGTTGTTGTGGTTGTTGTGGTTGTTGTGGTTGTTGTGGTTGTTGTGGTTGTTGTGGTTGTTGTGGTTGTTGTGGTTGTTGTGGTTGTTGTGGTTGTTGTGGTTGTTGTGGTTGTTGTGGTTGGATGTTGTGGCGGTTGTTGTGTTTTTTGTGGCGTTGCGAATTTTCTTTCACATTGCTCTGGTTGTCTCAGACAACGAGCAGTTTCCAACACTTGCACTGCACATGGAGCTACTTCCCACCTTCGCCTCCACAGAACTGAAGCTCGACGATGATCTCATGTTTATACAGAACACGCATCTAGGCCAGCAAGGGGTAAAGCTCCAGTTTCTTCAATCGTCGGTTGTCTCCAGCGTGTGGATCGTCAAAGATCGTTTCTGCGGATCGCACAAAGAGAATGCCCAAGTTAAAGGAGAAAATCAGCTGAACATCTTGCGACGCATCTCCTTGCCAGTAGTCCTCTGCAGTCGCCGTGCCGATGGTCGTAGTTTCGGCAGCCACAGTAGCAGCTAGCGAAGCGAACATGAAGATAGAACGTGACATTCCGGATGGAGTGAAGGCCTGTTGTAGAACGTACCTGTCTTTGGGCTAACTGCGAGAGAACATGTCACAAGAGGGAGCCCAAGCAGCTCCACATTAGGTTACGCTGCGAGACACTGCAGCACCAGTACACCGCCAGACAATTAGGGAACAAAAAGCCAAAACGAGACTGGCATGGCGACGTCGATTCTGGCGACACTCAAGCCATGGGTCCCATGTAGACTTTCAAACCAGGCAATCGGGCACGGGGCTGAGATTGGAGCAAACACTGTGCCCGGCGCTGCCTCACCTTCGCTTGCTGTCATTGCGGACAGGCTGTCGGTACCAGACGCGTGGAGCTGGCTGTTGCTGTTGCGTTGCTGTTGCTATTGCTATTGCTGTTGCTGTTGCTGTTGTTGTTGTTGTTGTTGTTGTTGTTGTTGTTGTTGCGGTTGTTGTGGTTGTTGTGGTTGTTGTTGTGGTTGTTGTGGTTGTTGTGGTTGTTGTGGTTGTTGCTGTGGTGGTTGTTGTTGTTGTCGTAGGGTTGTTAAGGGTGGTGTTGTAGGTCGTCGCCAAAGTAGCAGGTGGTGTTGTAGTCGTCGTCATCGGAGTGGTCGTCCGCCAAAGTAGTAGCGGTAGTGGTGTCGTAGTGGTCGTGGTTGGCAGTAACCGTAGCAGTAGTTGTAGGAGGGAGTAGTAGTAGCAGTGTTCGTCGCAGCAGCAGTAGTAGTACTGGCAGTGGTAGTCGTAGTAGTGGTCGTAGTCGCAGTCGAAGTCATCGTCGTCGTAAAAGTGGAAGTGGTAGTGTTAGGGCTTCAGAGTTTGGGGTTTAGGTTGAAACTTCAGATTGGTTCCAGCTTCCGACCGAAAGGTTTCCCAGTAAACAAAGCGGGAGAGCGCGAGCCCCCATTTTGCCGTTAAGCAAGAAAACCCAAGTTGTAGTGACATTGCAGTGACGTTGTCGTGACGTTGTAGTGATCACTGCGTCACACAATGTCACTACAAGTCACTACAACGTCACTACAATGTAATAAGTTGCCCCCTTACATATTTGTCTGACTGGCTACACACCCTCAGTTGGCCGCTCCGCTTGCATTGCTTTGCTCATGCCAGCATGATGTAGAACGCTTCAATCATGACAGCAATTTTGCAGTGTTGTCCAGCCCTGCCGTTCTTCAACTTTGAGTCTTACTTGTTAGCATGATTTGGAGAATCCGTGCTCGCAGCTGTGCGGGCTCTGGGTTTCACTCGTCAACCTTCCAACGTGCATGCTGCAACAATCGTCGGTGTGGCCATGCTTGCAAGTGACGCTTCGAACGTGCAGCAAATAGTGAGCGATCTCTACTTCGAGGCCACACCAGTTCTATGTTAGCCTGCTTGTCGAGCTGGCGGCTTAAACAATCTGCATCCTTTGTTGTGTTGAGCCTTTCGCGCGCGCAAGGGTACATAAGCCGCTGCTGAAAGATGAGCGGGCGCAGCGTCAACGATGAAGGGCGCACTGATTTGCACTGCAGTCTGACACCACTCATCGCTATGGCCCTTGTCGCTAATCAGCGTCTCACACAGACAGTTGCAGCGACCGCATCAAATCTGAGAATACTGATTTTGAATAGGATTAGAAACACAAGATAGACCTTTTTGCGCTGTGACACGGCCCGATGGATCCAATCATTTCCCACATTGTGACCCGTAGACCCGTAGTGACCCGTAGTGACCCGTGGCGACCAGTAGTCTGTTGTAACCGCGTTAGAGGCGGTCCTCTCGATCAAGCCAAGCGCTTCACATCTTCCTTCGTGATGCGTGGATCTTGCAAGCGGGCTTGTTTTAGGGTTTCTGCTTGATTGCCGAAGCCGGTTCTCGGATTTTCGTATACCTGCTTGATGACATTTGCCCTAGCCTCTGCCATGTTTTCTAGGGAGAGGCTTTACCGCTCGGCTGGCGTTGCGCGAAGCCTTTGAAGAGTTTGTAATGACCGCATAGTGACACCGTAGTGACCACTTTGATTCGTAGTGATCCGCAGTGACCGTAGTGACCCGTAGTGACCCGTATGACGCGTAGTGACGCGTAGTGACGCGTAGTGACCGTTACAGCAGCACCGCGAAGAACAGTCGTAAAAGCGCTGCAAACTGCAGTATGATGCAGAGGCACTTCACTGCAGAGACTCGGTGAGAGACTCAGTCTTTATGGAATCTTTTCCGGTGAAGACTGCAGTCTTTTTGGAGTCTCTTCGAAGTCTGCCTACTGCTTCTACTGCTGCAAACTGCTCTTCTACTGCTGCTACTTCTGCTTCGAGCAAAGATTGCAACATTATTGAGTCATTATTGCGACATTATTGAGTCATTATTGAGTCATTGTTGGCTCTTCTTTGACTCATTATTGAAACAAACGAAATTCTTTTTCGCTCCATTTTGACAACACCTTGCGGTCACAACGCGGTCACAACGCGGTCACAACGCGGTCACAACGCGGTCACAACGCGGTCACAACGCGGTCACAACGCGGTCACAACGCGGTCACAACGAGGTCACAACGCGGTTACAACGCGGTCACAACGCGGTGCTGCTAAAAGGGGCTGTAGTGACGTTGTAGTGACGTTGTAGTGACGTTGTAGTGACGTTGTAGTGACGTTGCAGTGACGTTGTAGTGACGTTGTAGTGACGTTGTAGTGACGTTGACGTCTACTACAAAAGAGACTGTAGTGACATTTTAGTGGCTTTTGGAATAAGTTACCATAAGTCCCCCCTTACTTATATATAAAAGCCCCAGCCTTCGGACTGAACTGTCCAGCATCAAGGTTTCTGGTTGACTCTCAACCCTGCACTCCGCCGACGCCATTACCCTCCATGGCTTATGGCACAAGCTCAGGTTCAGCTGTTAGAACCGGTACTAGACCCAAACTTGGCAGATGAACTTGCAGGCTAATTTGTAGCACCCTGAAAGCAAGACGCGTCAGCCACAGCTGCTCCTTCTTGGCACCCAGCAGCCACTGCGGCATAGGAAACCACAGCATGGGTAACGGCTTTCTTACTTAGCCGCTTAAGCACGGAGTAGAAGCTGTGAATTTGTACAGCGGCAGAACTTTGCAGAGTTTCTTGCTTACTCGCCTGCTATCATCAATACCACGGCGGCACTGTTGCAACAGGTTAGCATAGAAGAGCTCTGCCAGTTCTTACCTTTCAAAATTTGACTTTACGTACTGGACATGTGCTGGACAGCTCCAACAGCACGCTGGGATGGCAAAGACGTTTTCTTTAAGAACGACAAATTACGCTACTTGGGTTTTTTGCCTGACGGCAAAATGCGGGTGCGAAGCACTCTCTGCTTGGCATCAAATCAGGGGGCCACATGGATTACATGGCCCCATTACCTACGGTCTGTGTTTTTCAGCTGTCCTGGCTTGACACATGCAGGCCACACCATACTTGAGATGCAAATTGGAGATGCTTTTTTTACGACATTTTTTAAAGCAAATTGTCTTTAAAATTTCAAACATGAAAAAACGTTTAAAACACAGAAAAAAACTGGTTTCGAAGCATTTCAAAGTCTGCAATATGAATAATAATTTTGGAATGCCTTGTTCAGAACAGAATCGCTCTGAACAAACTTGCCTGAAAAACAAAATCAAAAAAAAAACGTTAATTGATTTTTGTTTAATTTCTTTTTTGAGAAACATTGTCAACGAAATGAACAAAGATGATCCATACCAACTTTTTGAAACTGAGCCAACCTGCTTGCTTTGGATCAAAATTTAACATATTGAAAATCTTAAAAACATTAGAAAAAACGTGGCGTTCAAGAAAAACAGTTGTAGAAGTCATGAGTCTTTTTTTTTTCCTCCACTGCTTCTTCGACACAAGCGCCCCAGCAAGCTAGAGCAATGAGATTCAAAGAGGGATGAGACGGCGCACCTACCATCAAACCAACATAAACAAAAGTGCAAAGACATGGGGCTAATGACACTGCAGAGAGCTGAACAACAACCCAGCGACGCCTGCAAACAATGAAAATTAACTCCAAAACATTGAAAAGTGCCAAAACTTGCATTTGGAAGATTTTTAAAAAATTGCCACGGAGAGTGCTTCGCACCAAGTCTGTGCCTCTAGTAGCCACGCTCCAGAACTTGAAGCACGCTGCAACCTGTGCCTAAAGCCAGAAGTGACGTGTAGATCTTGCCGTGGATGTCCGTTTCGCAGTACGCACGCAGGCTCGACAGCTTCCTCAGAGCTTCCTATCAGCAACCTCCGCCACTTGTGTGACTGCACTTGAAGAGGAAAGCGGCACGTGCGCGCCACAAAGCGGACTTGTTAACGCTGCATGGGACAGCCTGGCCTGCGCCCTTGATCTTTCTGGCTATCTGTTCTTTTTTCTGGTTCTTGCCTTTTTTGCATTGCCGATTTGGAATGGACGGGGGCCAGAGAACGAACCCTTTTACATTGGCCTGTTAATCAGTTCATGCGAAAAAAAAATCAAGTTTTATTTCCATGTCTTAAAACAATAAACTTTTGTTTTAACACACCGGCACTCTGCGGAGCACATCTGCAAGAGGCTGGGGTTTTACGGTGTTTGTTTTGGAAGGTTCAAGGCTGTTTTTAAAGCTTGAGCTTGGAAGTGGCCTGGAATATGTTGCTAAAAACACCTTTCTGACACCTTCTGAGCGCTGGCAACATCGACGGACTGTCTCTACGGACGCAGGTTCCTTACGGCCGACCCACACTTTCACTGAATGTCTGTACTGACTTCTAAGTTGCCGGTAGGTTCTTGTTTGCATTGGTTTTGCCATGCTGCCTTGCGTTCAGTTGTCTTGCAACAAGAGCCTCTGCGTTAGCGGTTGCTTTGTAGTCACGACTTCTTTTTCACTCGCTGGCTTAGTTTCACCCTTTGTGTTAAGACTCACAAGGACGGCAGTTCAAAAAAAAGCTGGCAACATCGACGGCGACGACCTTGGATGCTGGAAGATGCACCAAGTGCCAAACGGCGGTGCTGAGAGAGCATCCTGGGCTCCGGCCAAAACTCATGGCACTGAG